TGATTCCATTCCTAAGATTATTGCATAATATGGCTCATTGCGTGTTTCATTTTAGGTATAGGGAACATATTAGAGCGGATTATCTCGAGGGTTGGATGTCGGGTCGTCTTGGAGGAGAGCCATTCTACTGGGAGCGGATCACATTGTTTTGTGTCTAGCTGCAAATGGATACCTGAGAACTAGGGAGAGTGGGGCCAAAAATAACCTCTGGCAGTGGGGGTCACACACACGGACACACAATCGCACACACACACACTCACAGGACTGGAGTGGGTCACAGTGATAGCCTGCAGAGCCAATTACAATATCAAGAGCTAGGCCTAAGTCATTGCAAGAGCTAGAGAGCCTCTCAAAGTGCTACTGTTGTTCCTTAAGGGTATTGGAGTGCAGATGTAGGTTTTAACTCCAACCCTGTTCCTGGAGACCTACCCTCCTGTAGGTTAATTCCTACCCTGTTCCTGGAGAGCCACCCTCCTGTAGGTTAACTCCTACCCTGTTCCTGGAGAGCTACCTTCCTGTAGGTTAATTCCTACCCTGTTCCTGGAGAGCCACTCTCCTGTAGGTTAACTCCTACCCTGTTCCTAGAGAGCTACCCTCCTGTAGGTTAACTCCTACCCTGTTCCTGGAGAGCTACCCTCCTGTAGGTTAACTCCTACCCTGTTCCTGGAGAGCTACCCTCCTGTAGGTTAACTCCTACCCTGTTCCTGGAGAGCTACCCTCCTGTAGGTTAACTCCTACCCTGTTCCTGGAGAGCTACCCTCCTGTAGGTTAACTCCTACCCTGTTCCTGGAGAGATACCCTCCTGTAGATTATCTCCTACCCTGTTCCTGGAGAGCTACCCTCCTGTAGGTTAACTCCTACCCTGTTCCTGGAGAGCTACCCTCCTGTAGGTTAACTCCAACCCTGTTCCTGGAGAGCTACCCTCCTGTAGGTTAACTCCTACCCTGTTCCTGGAGAGCTACCCTCCTGTAGGTTAACTCCAACCATGTTCCTGGAGAGCTACCCTCCTGTAGGTTAACTCCAACCCTGTTCCTGGAGAGCCACCCTCCTGTAGGTTAACTCGTACCCTGTTCCTGGAGAGCCACCCATGAATTGTCTCTTTCCAATCAAGGTGCATGAGTTGAGGAGAATGAGATTCAGGAACACTTGGAGGATAATGGAATTAAACAAAAAACCTTATTTATTGCTAAAAGTAGAACGAACGAGTTGGGGCTTCTGGCCTTCATAAGGGTTTTGAAATACAGAAAATATAATATGCACTCAAGCACATTTAATTACACTCTTATGGGGCTATCAGATTGAGGACTAGTACAGCTGGTACTGCTGTAACAAGGACAGACAGGACACCACTGGGTCTATAGACCTGTACTACAACTAGTACTACTGTAACATGGAGAGACAGGACACCACTGGGTCTATAGACCTGTACTACAACTAGTACTGCTGTAACAAGGACAGACAGGATACCACTGGGTCTATAGACCTGTACTACAACTAGTACTACTGTAACATGGAGAGACAGGACACCACTGGGTCTATAGACCTGTACTACAACTAGTACTACTGTAACATGTAGAGACAAGACACCACTGGGTCTATAGACCTGTACTACAACTAGTACTACTGTAACATGTAGAGACAGGACACCACTGGGTCTATATACCTGTACTACAACTAGTACTACTGTAACATGGAGAGACAGGACACCACTGGGTCTATAGACCTGTACAACAACTAGTACTACTGTAACATGGAGAGACAGGACACCACTGGGTCTATAGACCTGTACAACAACTAGTACTACTGTAACATGGAGAGACAGGACACCACTGGGTCTATAGACCTGTACTACAACTAGTACTACTGTAACATGGAGAGACAGGACACCACTGGGTCTATATACCTGTACTACAACTAGTACTGCTGTAACATGGAGAGACAGGACACCACTGGGTCTAGAGACCTGCAGTGACTGAAGACCTTAGTTTATTATTGGATCCCAAAACAGCATGCAAAAATTGACCATGGTTTTGTCTGAACCAATATGCTTCCCTAATTCAGAACACGAGGTACTGTATATTTGGTAAATTCAAGGTGTTTTTGTGTCAAATCTGAAAAGCAACATTACTTGACTAGAACCTGGGTTGCCTACAGTGGGGAAAAAAGTATTTAGTCAGCCACCAATTGTGCAAGTTCTCCCACTTAAAAAGATGAGAGAGGCCTGTAATTTTCATCATAAGTACACGTCAACTATGACAGACAAACTGAGAAAAAAAATCCAGAAAATCACATTGTAGGATTTTTAATGAATTTATTTGCAAATTATGGTGGAAAATAAGTATTTGGTAAATAACAAAAGTTTCTCAATACTTTGTTATATACCCTTTGTTGGCAATGACACAGGTCAACTGTTTTCTGTAAGTCTTCACAAGGTTTTCACACACTGTTGCTGGTATTTTGGCCCATTCCTCCATGCAGATCTCCTCTAGAGCAGTGATGTTTTGGGGCTGTCGCTGGGCAACACGGACTTTCAACTCCCTCCAAAGATTTTCTATGGGGTTGAGATCTGGAGACTGGCTAGGCCACTCCAGGACCTTGAAATTCTTCTTACGAAGCCACTCCTTCGTTGCCCGGGCGGTGTGTTTGGGATCATTGTCATGCTGAAAGACCCAGCCACGTTTCATCTTCAATGCCCTTGCTGATGGAAGGAGGTTTTCACTCAAAATTTCACGATACATGGCCCCATTCATTCCTTCCTTTACACGGATCAGTCGTCCTGGTCCCTTTGCAGAAAAACAGCCCCAAAGCATGATGTTTCCACCCCCATGCATCACAGTAGGTATGGTGTTCTTTGGATGCAACTCAGCATTCTTTGTCCTCCAAACACGACGAGTTGAGTTTTTACCAAAAAGTTATATTTTGGTTTCATCTGACCATATGACATTCTCCCAATCCTCTTCTGGATCATCCAAATGCACTCTAGCAAACTTCAGACGGGCCTGGACATGTACTGGCTTAAGCAGGGGGACACGTCTGGCACTGCAGGATTTGAGTCCCTAGTAGTGTGTTACTGATGGTAGGCTTTGTTACTTTGGTCCCAGCTCTCTGCAGGTCATTCACTAGGTCCCCCTGTGTGGTTCTGGGATTTTTGCTCATCGTTCTTGTGATCATTTTGACCCCACGGGGTGAGATCTTGCGTGGAGCCCCAGATCGAGGGAGATTATCAGTGGTCTTGTATGTCTTCCATTTCTTAATAATTGCTCCCACAGTTGATTTCTTCAAACCAAGCTGCTTACCTATTGCAGATTCAGTCTTCCCAGCCTGGTGCAGGTCTACAATTTTGTTTCTGGTGTCCTTTGACAGCTCTTTGGTCTTGGCCATAGTGGAGTTTGGAGTCTGACTGTTTGAGGTTGTGGACAGGTGTCTTTTATACTGATAACAAGTTCAAACAGGTGCCATTAATACAGGTAACGAGTGGATGACAGAGGAGCCTCTTAAAGAAGAAGTTACAGGTCTGTGAGAGCCAGAAATCTTGCTTGTTTGTAGGTGACCAAATACTTATTTTCCACCATAATTTGCAAATAAATTCATTAAAAATTCTACAATGTGATTTTCTGGCAAAAAAAATCTCAATTTGTCTGTCATAGTTGACGTGTACCTATGATGAAAATTACAGGCCTCTCTCATCTTTTTAAGTGGGAGAACTTGCACAATTGGTGGCTGACTAAATACTTTTTTTTCCCCACTGTATATCGCTCACCAACAGCGGGGCATCAGACTAGCCTTACAGTGGACAGTGGAGAGTGGGACACCATAGAATGATTCTAACCATTCTATTTGTATGGTGGACACACCATGTAGAATTTACCTTTTCCATGTAGCTGTCCTCTCCCTTCGCCCCCAGCAGCCCCCAGCACAGCAGTGAAGAGTTGGAAAGGAATGATGAAGGCAATGAGAGGCAATGAGAGAGGAGAAATAAAGAAGAGAGAACAGAGGAGATACTGTAGACAGGAGATAATGCATAACCACCAAGAAGTCAGGAAGTAAGATAATGATATGCTGTGTTAAAGGTGCAATCTGTAGGTCATTTCTGGGTTTTTTTTAAGTATTGTCCCGTGCTGGCAGGATTGGGAGAGAGGGTCTTTTTGCGAGTGTACTGCACACTGATTGACTTAATGAGTTGTCTTTTTATGTTTCAGCATTGATTTCTTGAGCATTTCAGGGGGTCAAAAGGTTACAGATTGCACCTTTAAATTGAATAATTCCACCCAAACCTACCCGTGCAGAGTCAAACAGAATGACTTTAGAATAGTGACAGTGGAAGCAAGAGATCATTTGCAATGGATCATATCAACATAGCATACTAATCTAACTAAGGCCAAGGTGGATATAGATAGACAATCTAAAATAACAATATGGAGAAATGCATGGACAGCCTTTTTGTACTGTAAAGTAGAGTATATGACTAGCCTAGACTTAGTCAATGCTCCCAATGTTTCAGGAAAACCCTTCTGACATTTCTACACACCATGTGCCACTTCCTTATCCCCTTGGGGATTCTAAACACAGCCACAGGTTGAGAAATTCTCTCTGCACCAATGGACAAAGATCTAGACCAAATCTATGTGCTCTTCAACACCAGTCTTTGAGGCCTACTGCAGTGTCAGCTGCTTTTCATTTCTTACCCATTTAGAGGGTTTAGGGTTAGGGAAACCAAGTTTAGCGGACTCTCAAGCCAAAAGTGTCATTGAGAAAAACAACTATCTGCCATTGCGGCCTTCAATGACTGAAGAAGTATATAAAAAATTGACCTTGCATTGACTGTTCAACTAATCCTGCAATGAACACTATATTTATTGACTGTTCAAATAATCCTGCAATGAAGACTATTTAAATGGCTCTTCAATACGGTACAATACATACATCACTCCTATCCTACTTTGAACGTATCCCTCCCTGGTTCCTACAGTAACTTCACGTTAGCTAGTCCCACTCACCAGGTCAATGAGCTTGGTGATGGGGATCTCCCGGATGGGCTTCTTCATGTGGCACAGGGTCTCCAGCGAGGTACCGAAGCAACTGGGCAGGTAGTTGCCTGAGATGGTGATGAAGTAGTCCTTGCCTCGGTCCAGGTGCAGCACCAGGATGTCCTCGATGGCGTCCTCTCCTGAGTTGAGCAGCGTCACTGAGTCCTTGCTCACGTACACATCCAGGAAGATCTCTAAAGTTTCGTCTGGTGGGGAGAGACCAAGAGGGGAAATGTTCATTACGGTTTGCCAACTATTTGAAATGGAAAGTGGACATGAGCGTTTCTTATAGAACAAATCCAGGTAGGATAAATCCTTGTTTCAGTCTGTTTTCTTTGGTTTTGGTGCCTCAAGAACACAGCCCTGGTGGTATGATAAGGGAACAGTACATACATAGCTACAATGGGTTACAACAGAGTAGAGATGCTATACAAATGCATTCTTCAGTCCAGTTGTGAAACAATCCCTAGCCCCTATGCACCTTATGTAAATCTTAAAGGAATGTATTTGATAGGTAGGACTGTAAGCAATATGGTAGCAGCTCCATGCCCTCTGAAAGGCTTGGTAGGACTTTCAGCATATTACTGTATACCTATAAAAAACATTCTGATTCTCTACAAGTGTTTAAGGAGTAGGGGTTAGCGGTTGTTTCAGGACCGGACCTTCCTTCTCCGTCCTCCAGGAGATTATTCAACTGATTGAACAGTGAATCTTTGGATCCTCAGATCAGTGAAATCCCACGAAGGAAGGAGCGAAGGATACATTGTGAAAGTATCCCACCACGCAGGGCCCGTGACTGCCTGGCTGAAAGCGAAGGGGACTTACTGGGCTCTAGGAAGCCTTCGCTGGGCTCAGCGCGGAGCCAGTTCTTGCAGTACTGTGAGTCGTTGAGCTTGGGGATAAAGGCAAAGTGACAGGGGACCTGCCCGTCGTTGGAGATCACAAAACTCTCCCGCTGCAGTTGGCGGAACTTGACGTCCTTAAAGGTGAACTACAGGAGGAGAGGGAGAGAAAGAGAGGAGGGGAGAGAAAGAGAGGAGGGGAGAGAAAGAGAGGAGGAGAGAGAAAGAAAGGAGGGGAGAGAAAGAGAGGAGGGGAGAGAAAGAGAGGAGGGGAGAGAAAGATAGAGGTTGAGGAGGACAGACTCACAGACATAGTTACAGTAAGCCAGAGTTCAATAATGATTGTTTGATCTATGCAGTAGATTGTTTGAAATGCAAATAGATTACCATACCATTCGACACCTGCACAGTAACTCAAGCATCTTGGAAGATTTTCTTCGGCTGACATTTTTCGTCCGAATTTTAAAATCACAAGTCCCTGACTCAATAGTTGCTGTGTTGGTATCAAAATGACTATGTACCTTACTTAATGACAATCACTGACAAAACTGACTTATTGATCTGACACAAAATATCAGTGGGGAGGAAATTCTGGACAGGAAATCAATAAGATAAGAAACATGGCTCTGTGTGTTCTGTCTACTCACCTCTCTGTGGGTCAGTGACAGAGACGGGAGACATTCGTTCTCCATCCTGTCCATCATGCGCACGATCTCCTCAAACACTTTCTTGTGGCGAGCTTCGTTCACCACCTTCACCTGTTAAACACACATTTTGAATTTCTCGATCCAACACCGATTCATTCAATATAACATAATCAAGCACGCTATTCGAGAAAAAATTACTTTTATTTTATGATCCTCAATGAGCTGTATAGTATGTTAAAGGTACAGTGCATTCGGAAAGTATTCAGACCCCTTGACTTTTTCCACATTTTGTTACATTGCAGCCTTATTCTAAAATTTATTAAATAAATGTTTTCCTCATCAATCTACACACAATACCCCATAATGACAAAGCGAAAACAGGTTTTTAGAAAATTTTGCAAATGTATAAAAAATAAAAAACTGAAATACCTTATTTGCATAAGTATTCAGACCCTTTGCTATGAGACTCGAAATTGAGCTCAGGTGCATCCTGTTTACATTGATCATCCTTGAGATGTTTCTACGACTTAATTGGAGTCCACCTGTGTTAAATTCAATTGATTGGACATGATTTGGAAAGGCACACACCTGTCTATATAAGGTCCCACAGTTGACAGTGCATGTCAGAGCAAAAACCAAGCCTTGAGGTTGAAGGAATTGTCCGTAGAGCTCCGAGACAGGATTGTGTCGAAGCACAGATCTGGGGAAGGGTATCAAAAAATGTCTGCAGCATTGAAGGTCCCCAAGAACACAGTGGCCTCCATCACTCTTAAATGGAAGAAGTTTGGAACCACCAAGACTCTTCCTAGAGCTGGCCGCCCGGCCAAACTGAGCAATCGAGGGAGAAGGGCCTTGGTCAGGGAGATGACCAAGAACCCGATGGTCACTCTGACAGAGCTCCAGAGTTCCTCTGTGAAGATGGGAGAACCTTCCAGAAGGACAACCATATCTGCAGCACTCCACCAATCAGGCCCTTATGGTAGAGTGGCCAGACGGAAGCCACTCCTCAGTGAAAGGCACATGACAGCCTGCTTGGAGTTTGCCAAAAGGCACCTAAAGGACTCTCAGACCATGAGAAACAACATTCTCTGGTCTGATGAAACCAAGATTGAAATCTTTGGCCTGAATGCCAAGCGTCACGTCTGGAGGAAACCTGGCACCATACCTATGGTGAAGCATGGTGGTAACATCATGCTGTGGGGATGTTTTTCAGCGGCAGGGACTGGGAGACTAGTCAGTATCGAGGGAAAGATGAATGGAGCAAAGTACTGGTGTGCCAAGCTTGTAGCGTCATACCCAAGAAGACTAAAGGCTGTAATCGCTGCCAAAGGTGCTTCAACAAAGTACTGAGTAAAGGGTCTGAATACTTATGTAAATGAGATATTTCCGTTTTTTATTTTTCCAACATTTGCAAAAATGTCTAAAAACCTGTTTTTGCTTTGTCATTATGGGGTATTGTGTGTAGATTGATGAGGGGAAAAAACAATTTAATCAATTTTAGTATAAATGTGGAAAAAGTCAAGGGGTCTGAATACTTTCCGAATGCACTGTATGTGTATTTTACTTAATGGACTCCTTAGACTTATTTGTGAATTGTGAATGTCAGGTCTCCCTTGACTGTCTCGACCTCAATCAGTCAGATGACTTCCAAATGCTGACAGGCAGTGTAGTGAGTGTTAACATGATCCTTACCCCGACACTGAAGAGGGAGCTGACAGGCTTGTGGTCGCTGGTCTTCAGTTCCATGTGGCTCCTGTAGTAGAGCTGCTTCACGTTACTGCCCCTCCACAGGATCCGGTCGCACCACGCCGGGACACGACACTTACCACTGCAGGAGAACCCCAGAGAAAGAGACAGGGGTTGGAGACACGGGGTCAGCTGTTCATTCGGCACCAAATGAAAGATAGCAGATTGAAACTGTGATGGACAATGTGGACTAGTCCAATAAGGCAGTGGTTCCCAAACTGTGGGGCGCGCCTCCCCCTAGGGGTCGGCCCTAGGGGGGGGCGCGCCCCACAGTTTTCACAAGGTACAATTTCGAAATTGGGTAGTGCATCATCAGTTCCTCTTGTCATGTTTGTCATTGCATACCTTAGAGCTATTTATAACTTGTCAGAAATGTCCAGATCAACTAGCCCATGTCAGCTAACGTTTTTTTTATTTACGTTTGTTAGCCCATAGATATTGTTGTAATTCTTTAGTCACTCAAATATCACATGAATACACATTAGACATGGCAACATGTATAACATTACAAGAAAATTTGCTTTAAAACTGCAAAGTCTTCCTTGCACCATGACAAAATGTGTAGAATTGCAGGACATATGCTTTAAACCTGCAAAATTCTCTCCACCAATAAGAGTGGTTGAACAGTTTGTGTCATGAACAGTGCTTGTGCCAATAGAAATAGACGTGGTGCACACGCGTAAAAGGGGGGTGCAGGATGTTCTCCAATGCTGGAAGGGGGGCCTGAGTGAAAAGGTTTGGGAACCCCTGCAATAAGGAACAGTCATTTTAGTTTCCGTTACATATGTTCAGTTGCATGCCACACAACCCATTGTTTCCCTGAATACCCTAGATTTCCAGGTAAGTCACATAAGCCCCCAAAGCAACAACCTGGGTCTTTTCAAGTTATTTAGGCAGGGGGGAACAAAGCTGGTTAGGGGTCCTGCCCCACATATTCAATATTACCTCAACATTACCTCAAAAAGTCTAGATTTGTGTAAGGACTCATTTTATTACTGGGACAGAATGGTTGAAAATGTGACTTTTCAGGTTTGATCTTACTAGGTATTTTAACATGAATAATCAAGGTGCTATGGCATATGAGGATTAGCCTATACAGGGTATTTTCTTTGCACTCTCTTGGGTGAAGGGTGTGGGGTAATAGCTTACACATACAATTCCAAACTCTCTGGGTGTTATATAAGTATGTGATTGGTGAGAAAGGAATCAGGATCAGTGATATTTTACCTAGAGTCCCAACGGTCCGTCTTGGCGTCGTACTTATATGTGGGCATGAAATTGATCTCTCCCTCCATGAAGTCTGTGAAGGATCGCATGTTCTGTCTCTGGATATTCAGCTTCACACAGAGGCAGGAGGGGAAATATATCAACAACACATGTTATTCAGAGACAGACAGAGGAACTCCTGTATTTAGAACTGTTAAAACAACCAGAGAAAATAAGAAATTAGGTGGTAAGTTATTGCAGGATACAGAAGTCCTAACTCCACTGTCCAAATCCAGCTTTGTTTTATTCAATGTCATTATTTTTGTTGTTGTTGATGTCACTGATTTGTGACAGTGAAGAACTTTAAATGACAACATGACTTCAACCAGTATGTGTTTCTATAAAAGAAAGTGTAAAAACCATTGATAACGGACTAGATAACAGATGTGCGTGTGTGCATGTGTGTGTATTCTGACCTGGTCATACTCCTGCAGTTTCCTCAGTTGGTTGTGGGAGATGAGCTGTTTGACCTCAGCTGCATCGTACACAAACAACCGGTAGTTCAGATCTCCTACCCAGATCACTACACTGGACCACAGAATGGATGAAGAGTTAGAGTTGAAGTCTGAAGTTTACATACACCTTAGCCAAATACATTTAAACTCAGTTTTTCACAATTCCTGACATTTAATCCAAGTAAAAATTCCCTGTTTTAGGTCAGTTAGGATCACCACTTTATTTTAAGAATGTGAAATGTCAGAATAATAGTACAGAGAATTATTTATTTCAGCTTTCAGAAGATTACATACACTCAATTCGTTTTTGGTAGCATTGCCTTTAAATTGTTTAACTGGTCAAACGTTTCGGGTAGTCTTCCACAAGCTTCCCACAATAAGTTGGGTGAATTTTGGCCCATTCCTCCTGACAGAGCTGGTGTAACTGAGTCAGGTTTGTAGGCCTCCTTGCTCGTACACGCTTTTTCAGTTCTGCCCACACATTTTCTATAGGATTGAAGTCAGGGCTTTGTGATGGCCACTCCAATACCTTGACTTTGTTGTCCTTAAGCCATTTTGCCACAACTTTGGAAGTATGCTTGGGGACATTGTCCATTTGGAAGACCCATTTGCGACCAAGCTTTAACTTCCTGACTGATGTCTTGAGATGTTGCTTCAATATATCCACATAATTTTCCTTCCTCATGATGCCATCTATTTTGTGAAGTGCACCAGTCCCTCCTGCAGCATAGCACCCCCACAGCATGATGCTGCCACCCCCGTGCTTCACGGTTGGGATGGTGTTCTTCGGCTTGCAAGCGTCCCCTTTTTCCTCCAAACATAACGATGGTCATTATGGCCAAAGTTATATTTTTGTTTAATCAGACCAGAGGACATTTCTCCAAAAAGTACGATCTTTGTCCCCATGTGCAGTTGCATATCGTAGTCTGGCTTTTTTATGGCGGTTTTGGAGCAGTGGCTTCTTCCTTGCTGAGCGGCCTTTCAGGTTAAGTCGATATAAGACTCATTTTACTGTGGATATAGATACTTTTGTACCCGTTTCCTCCAGCATCTTCACAAGGTCCTTTGCTGTTGTTCTGGGATTGATTTGCACTTTTCGCACCAAAGTACGTTCATCTCTAGGAGACAGAACGCATCTCCTTCCTGACCAGTATGACGGCTGCGTGGTCCCATGGTGTTTATACTTGCATACTATTGTTTGTACAGATGAACGTGGTACCTTCAGGCGTTTGGAAATTGCTCCCAAGGATGAACCAGACTTGTGGAGGTCTACAATTCTTTTTCTGAGGTCTTGGTTGATTTATTTTGATTTTCCCATGATGTCAAGCATAGAGGCACTGAGTTTGAACGTAGGCCTTGAAATACATCCACAGGTATACCTCCAATTGACTCAAATGATGTCAATTAGCCTATCAGAAGCTTCTAAAGCCATGACATCATTTTATGGAATTTTCCAAGCTGTTTAAAAGGCACAGTCAACTTAGTGTATGTAAACTTCTGACCCACTGGAATTGTGATACAGTGAATTATAAGTGAAATAATCTGTCTGTAAACAATTGTTGGAAAAATTACTTGTGTCATGCACAAAGTAGATGTCCTAACCGACTTGCCAAAACTATAGTTTGTTAACAAGAAATGTGTGGAGTGCTTGAAAAACTAGTTTTAATGACTCCAACCTAAGTGTATGTAAACTTCCGACTTCAACTGTATGTATTGTAACACAACAGCATGTAAACAGTCTTACAGTAATACCATACGTTTACACATAACACTGTATGAAAAAACAAAGTGACATGGTTACACTATTTTACAGTCCACTATTTACTTTTCAATTATTTGTTGAAGTGCCTAACTATTACCTGATAATTTCTCTCTCTGGGATTCAATTACATTAGCAGCAAAGAATGAAATGTATAATAATAATGACTACTGTAAGCCCCTTGATCCTGAAATACATAGTATTATTGATAATACATTCCTAATGCACTTAGTGGTATGCTAGTGTGGACATTGGAACAAGGCCTATGACTCTACAGTATGGGTCTTGGAGAGGGACTGACTCGTGTTTGACGATGTTGAGGGGAGGGTGATCTAGCAGGTGGAAGCTCATGCGGGCACAGATGTCTTTGTAGTCCTGGTTCCTCCTCTCAAAGTCCTCCACGTGGGCCGCCAGGTGGGAGTTGACAAAGCAAAAGCTGGTGTTGTGGAACACAAAGCGCACCGCCACACCTCCCTTGTTACCCTAGAATGAGAAAATAAAACATTGTATGTTGACTGACTGACTGATTGCTTTGTTTGTTTAGTAAAGTGTCTTGCAACAGCTGCTCAGCCCATATAGGTTTAAAGGACACTTGTTATATGAATGTAAATGTAAAAACTAGACATTTTACAGTATGTGACAATACTTTGCAGTACAGTGGGGAAAAAAAGTATTTAGTCAGCCACCAATTGTGCAAGTTCTCCCACTTAAAAAGATGAGAGAGGTCTGTAATTTTCATCATAGGTACACGTCAACTATGACAGACAAAACGAGAAAAGAAAATCCAGAAAATCACATTGTAGGATTTTTTATGAATTTATTTGCAAATGATGGTGGAAAATAAGTATTTGGTCAATAACAAAAGTTTCTCAATACTTTGTTATATACTCTTTGTTGGCAATGACACAGGTCAAACGTTTTCTGTAAGTCTTCACAAGGTTTTCACACACTGTTGCTGGTATTTTGGCCAATTCCTCCATGCAGATCTCCTCTAGAGCAGTGATGTTTTGGGGCTGTCGCTGGGCAACACGGACTTTCAACTCCCTCCAAAGATTTTCTATGGGGTTGAGATCTGGAGACTGGCTAGGCCACTCCAGGACCTTGAAATGCTTCTTACGAAGCCACTCCTTCGTTGCCCGGGCGGTGTGTTTGGGATCATTGTCATGCTGAAAGACCCAGCCACGTTTCATCTTCAATGCCCTTGCTGATGGAAGGAGGTTTTCACTCAAAATCACACGATACATGGCCCCATTCATTCTTTCCTTTACACGGATCAGTCTTCATGGTCCCTTTGCAGAAAAACAGCTCCAAAGCAGCCCCATGCTTCACAGTAGGTATGGTGTTCTTTGGCTGCAACTCAGCATTCTTTGACCTCCAAACACGACGAGTTGAGTTTTTACCAAAAAGTTCCTATTTTGGTTTCATCTGACCATATGACATTCTCCCAATCCTCTTCTGGATCATCCAAATGCACTCTAGCAAACTTCAGACGGGCCTGGACTTGTACTGGCTTAAGCAGGGGGACACGTCTGGCACTGCAGGATTTGAGTCCCTGGCGGCGTAGTGTGTTACTGATGGTAGGCTTTGTTACTTTGGTCCCAGCTCTCTGCAGGTCATTCACTAGGTCCCCCCATGTGGTTCTGGGATTTTTGCTCACCGTTCTTGTGATCATTTTGACCCCACGGGGTGAGATCTTGCGTGGAGCCCCAGATCGAGGGTGATTATCAGTGGTCTTCTATGTCTTCCATTTCCTAATAATTGCTACCACAGTTGATTTTTTCAAACCAAGCTGCTTACCTATTGCAGATTCAGTCTTCCCAGCCTGGTGCAGGTCTACAATTTTGTTTCTGGTGTCCTTTGACAGCTCTTTGGTCTTGGCCATAGTGGAGTTTGGAGTGTGACTGTTTGAGGTTGTGGACAGGTGTATTTTATACTGATAACAAGTTCAAACAGGTGCCATTAATACAGGTAACGAGTGGAGGACAGAGGAGCCTCTTAAAGAAGAAGTTACAGGTCTGTGAGAGCCAGAAATCTTGCTTGTTTGTAGGTGACCAAATACTTATTTTCCACCATAATTTGCAAATAAATTCATTAAAAATCCTACAATGTGATTTTCTGGATTTTTTTTCCTCAATTTGTCTGTCATAGTTGACGTGTACCTATGATGGAAATGACAGGCCTCTCTCATCTTTTTAAGTGGGAGAACTTGCACAATTGGTGGCTGACTAAATACTTTTTTTCCCCACTGTATATTATTGTGGTATTCAAATATCCCAGCATTTACATTAAGTCTATGCTCTGTGTACCTACTGTATCTATAAATGTCATAAAGTTATAAAGTTATAACGTTATGTTATAAAGTTATAAAGTTATGTCATAAAGTTATAAAGTTATGTTATAATGTTATAAAATAATGTTATAATGTTATAAAGTTATGTTATAAAGTTATAAAATAATGTTATAATGTTATAAAGTTATAAAGTTATAAAGATATAAAGTTATGTTATAAAGTTATAAAGTTATAAAGATATAAAGATATAAAGATATAAAGTTATAAAGCTATAAAGTTATAAAGATATAAAGATATAAAGTTATAAAGCTATAAAGTTAATGAGAGCGAAAGGAGAACAAACACTTCCTCTTAGTTGACTTGACTCGTTCATACCATTTTTCCCATGATGCCAGTTCCCACGTGCTCCGCCGCCACATCTTTGATGTGATTCTTGTGCACCTTGTTGACAAACACCACCAGCATCATGCCCACTAGTCGGATGATGCGCACCTGGGGGGACAGAAGCATCCATATCCAAATTCTATCAGTCTATTTGAGTATGACATAAGATGTTGATAAAAGCCCATCGGCTGCTCTCAGTGTGTGATTACTGTAATTGTTTGCAATTTTTCTAATGTAATTCCAAGAATGTAATATTGTAGTTGATTAAACCATTTGTGTTTTCCACTGAAGATGAGAAGAGTCCTCTCATTGACTCACCCTCTTGTACTTGGCTTTGGGGTGCAGACTTCTCTCCACAGCCTCCACCCACAGCTGCTCCTTAGAGGAGTCCAGATAGAAGAAGGCCTCTGTGCTCAGGTCCAGCTCCTGGAAACTACAGCACCCAGAATGCACAGGGAAGTCAGCGCGGTAGTTCTAATGTTTGGGAAAGTGCTCTTTAGAGTATGTAATGAAATCTCTAGTTTAGAACTAGCAACGTCCATCCATCATTAATGATGTGGCATTAAGAGGATCCAATTCAGAAAAGTATGTTACATTTTACATTACATTTCAGTCATTTAGCAGACGCTCTTATCCAGAGCGACTTACAGTTAGTGAGTGCATACATTTTCATACTGGCCCCCCGTGGGAATCGAACCCACAACCCTGGCGTTGCAAGCGCCATGCTCTACCAACTGAGCTACACAGGGCCCATGTTACTTCCACAACTCTGGGTTGTATTCACTAGGCACCAAACAGAAGAAAACGGACTGAAGCAGAGAGGGACTACCTGAAGTTGTCCAATAAGAAACGCTTGCCTTTGTTTTTCGTTGCAAGACATTTTGCTACGGTGTGCACTGATGAATACGACCCAGGTTCATTCCTTCATACATGCTGTGTAGAAGACATTGGACACTCAGATGTCACTGACCCCAGAGCGTAGACGTCAGGAGGTTCTGGCTCACAACACAGCCAGGGCTCTAGACTGCTGTCTGGGGACTGGCCATTCACATTCCACGTTCCAGAAAAGAATCTGAAACACACAAAACAGTCTTATATAGACATTCACATACTTACGTGGACAGAAAAATTTGTGAGGTTAGTGCTAGAGTGTAGCTTGATAACAGTTACAGCTAAGAATAGGGACTTACGGCTCAGTAAGTGAATGTTGGCCTAGAACCTTTTAGTTCAACGCAGGACCCTGCACATTTTGAAAATGGACCATGGAAAAACTAGACTACAGAAAAATGTAGAATAACTGCTGCTATAACCCACTTTCAATGGATCGCCTCAAGTTTCTGTCCAGAATCACAACTGGCTACTGCAGGGGAGCATATGTAATGGAGCTGGTTCAATGAACCACTCGTGTGATGTTACCTTACCTAGTCTTTAGCTTGTGACACACAGGAGGCCCGGGTTCGAACCCAGTCGGTCACACATAGCCCCACCCACCATCCACACAAAGCCATGGACACTCACCTGAAGTCCTTGATGTCTACGTACTCCTCCTCCTTCTTGGCCAGGCGGTGTTTGATGAGGTACTCTCTCTGGCCGGCCTGAGTGGAGAACATGGCGCTCCGCATGCTGTTGGTGGTGGGGCTGTCGCTCCATGAGGTGGGCCGGTCAACACTAAGACTGCATTATCAGGTAAGGATGAGTCATTCCCACAGTAATTCCACTACATTCTTTTCCAGTTAGGGCGTGGTGTAAAGGCTACAAATCAAGATCTAGGCCACCAAAATTATAAATAGAGGCCCTTTGACACCGATAGAGCCCCACAGTGGAGGTGTCATAATATCCATAAAACCTAGCGGTCAAACAGGGAAATGGTTCCAATCGTTTTTTTCCTGAAAAAGAAAAGGAGAGCCGCACACTCTAGGAGCTCAGATGCAATAATTTAATAACCTAATAACCAACGTTTCGACAGATATTGGAGGGTATGAAGACAGCTTGTCTGTCGAAACGTTGGTTATTAGGTTATTAAATTATTGCATCTGAGCTCCTAGAGTGTGCGGCTCTCTCCTTTTCTTTTCCAAGTGTTCTACGTTAGCCAGCACCTCGCCTAAATAGGTGTGTGTTTCTTTCGCCTCCATTCAAATCGTTTTTCCACCATTCATTTTTCCCATAGGGGATTTTAGAAACACTGTGTTTCGTGTAGGCTTACCCTGGCGTGACGTTTTGATAATCATGTAAATCTCTTGGACAAGGTGACTTTTATCAATATATTAGTCTCTATTTACTCTCAGATTCGAAAATGTTAATTAGCATCAAAGTAGACATCATGCAAAACTACAAATCCCTGCAAGCTCCTGCACGTCATCTCTAGCTGACTCCTTTGCTAACAGGTATTGTGTCAATTTAAAACTTGCACAAGACAGTTCACAGAATTGTCCATTTAAAGAAATGTTGCCAATGTATTCATTACTACATTTAGCTAACATCAGATAGTTAATCCAGAGATCCTTACCTTTGCGTCGGTTCGGCAGTCTCATCCAGATCATCATGGCATTTGTAGTTCTTTATGATAGCCACCTTAGCAGCTAATTAGCATTTCATTTTGGGGGGTAAATACAGGCGAATATAATGATAAAAGTCACCTTGTCCTAGAGAGATTTACACGGTTATCAAAACGTCATGCCAGGGTAAGCCTACATGAAACACAGCCCCTATTTTAAGTGTTTCTAAAATCCCCTATGGGAAAAATTAATGGCGGAAAAATTATTGGAACTATTTCCCTGTTTGATCGCTAGGTTTTATGGGTATTATGACTCATACTTTGGTACTCTATAGAAGCCAAATACAGATAGTTCTGTAGAAGAAAAAAAAAACATCTCCAATAGGATGAGCATACTATGGGACGGTCCTACTGGTAACACTCACTCTGTTTTGGCAGGCGTGATGAAGGCGGCATCTTTAGCCTGTACGGACGAGGCTCTGTCTTTGGAGATGGGGATGGGCGCGGGGGGGAGAGGATTGGAGGGAGTGTAGGAGCCTTTACGAGGAGGCAGAGGGGGAACTGGAGGAGCTTCCCGGGGGGGCCCGATGCCATTCTGCTGGTTCTTCTTCTCCTCCACTTTGAGGGAGTGATTGAAGTTGTCCTCGAAGCCAAAGTCTATGGCCAGAGAGAGAGCTGGGTCCCGTCTGTCAGCTGAGATAGAGGAGAGATTCATATGTGAGAAACCTTGTGACATTCACTGTATCGTTCAACTGTCATATGCAACAAGTGTCTATGATTCACTCCTGACCTCTTCACTGTAATGTGTGCTGATGTATGGTGAACTATCTGGTGCAAAATGGCTGCAGTAGCATCACCCAGCGGGGTGCTAGACATTGGTGCTGGATAAGGTTAAGTTTCCCCTATACAATGTCAAGCGCTTTGAGAATCTGGAAAAGCTCTATTTAAAATGAAATCAATTTTAACTTCATAACATTTGTATCCATACCTGTGCCAGTCTGGTTGGCTGAAGAGCTGTTGTTGAGGTTGGGAGGCGGTGGTGGTACACTGCTGGGCTTGGTGTGAGAGTTGGCAGCTTTGTGGATCCCTCTCTGAGGAGGGATGGGTGGGACTGGGGCAGAGACCTTGCGGGGAGCCGGCATGATGGGATCCATCGCTTTGATTTGCGTGCTTTTGGACTCGACTGTGGAAAAGTTGGCAGTGCTGAATCACTCAATCAAGAGACAAAGCTACTCAGAGTTACATGAGACAGCATTTCTCTACAAGTTTCAACCTGCAAATGTGTATCGCAACCTAATACGAGTGCCAAGAATGATCTCATATAGTACAGTAAGTCTGTTGGTTTTAGCACATCTAAAGAGAAATGCAATACATTGACAATAGCACTACTACACTCCCTTCAAAGGATCACACCCATTGTTTGATACACCTCCATCTTGTTTCTATTGACCTTTCACAATGCAAATACTACTAGAGATAAAATGTTAGGGAAATGAGGCAACACCCAGCACAACTGGGCTGTTAGAGAGAAAGAGGATGTGTCGCAAATGGCACCCTATTCCCTATAAAGTGCACTACTTTTGACCAGGGCCCATAGAAAATAGGGTGCCATTTGGGACGTAGCTTCTGCCTGTGGTAATGAGGTTACACTGTCTCAATCATTAACCAGTGGGTGCCAAGGCAACAGTTGACATTGACAGTAACAGTTCAAAACTGTTTCTATCCCTGATCAAGCCAAACTGCTTGGGGACCTATATTTAAAATAGGTAGCCTATTCCTTTCAATATTCCAGGAGGGGTGTTGTAAATGAGGTCATAATCATTAAGAAATGTAATGGATTTTCTATATTTTTAGCACTTTTGGGGGGGTGAAACATTATTCTATATACAATGCATCTATAACGGAGTAGTGATGGGCCACAGTCAGGGCTCTACAGTGCGACCATTTTACTCGCATTTGCGCCTAAATATTTTGCTGTGCAACCTGGAATTTTAATTTAGGAGCACCAGTGTGCTTAGAAGAATGAAGGATTCTAGCTTTAATACCATTAACATTTTTAATTGTGCTCCTAAATGTCTTTGCGTGCGCCTACATTTTTCAACATACGCGCACACGTGCTCCTTGTAAAAAAGGTCAGCATAGAGCCCTGCCAGTCTTTTAGCTGTGGCAAATTATATGAAGACAGTGGACACCAACATTAATTTGATATGAGTAATCCCATTTAGATAAGCCACAATCCACATCAACACTGTTCCACATCAACCACAGTCAAAGATCAAATCAAAAGATACGGCTACAGGAGACTATCAACTGTGGCTCTGGTAACACAGCATCAGAGATTGGACGTACTAGTAGGTACTCCACCACTGCCACCTTGAGAGGTGCATCTGAACTTAAACATAGCTGAGGAATGTAACCGGTAGACATAGGTGAGACGTGAGAGAAGAAGGCGTAGGGGGAACTCACTAAGAGTGGAAGTAAGCCACCCTGGGGAAATAAATACATGTTGGATGAGTCAATGAATAATACATGCACTAGTGAGTAAGGACGTCAGTAAGGGTATGGTAGTGTTGAGCAGAGCGAGAGAGACAGAGAGAAGAGAGAAAGAGAGCGAGAGAGAGCGAGAGACTGGCTCACCTTGCTGCTTGGCTCTCTTCACCTGGGAGAAGAAGGACTGGCTGCGCTCATCATCCTGGAGCTCCAGAATCAGCTCCTGGGCTTTCTCCCCTCTGACCCGTACCCTAATGCAAGCTGGAGGGGCAGGGAGAAACACACATTCATTCAAACAAACATTCACCATTGACTCCCCTTATGGCCACCACAGACCATTCCATTCAATACACTATTTACTCCTAAGGGGCAATTATTGCTGGGTATAGAGTGACAGGGCAGGAGGGGCACATGACAGGATACGTAGTTACATTCACCACAACTTAGCCTATACAAATATACCATTTACTCACCACAACCATGGAGACACTACCCATGTCTACTTGCATGTCTACGAACTCCGCACAAAATGAGGAAGACAGTGCTTTGCCAACAGTGAGCTATTTCAAACGAGTGCAGGTTGCCCCGTTGCCATAGGCAACTCATGACCAACTTTTGCAACTAAATAAAGCTGCAGAGACAACCAGGCATGGAGCTCAGGGCATGGCATGCTCTAAAAATGTAACCAAATTGGATGAAGAGTTATGTTACAACCATTGTTGCCACAACACTGGTCTTGCACATAAGCTCCCATAATAAGGTGGAAACAACAACATAATCAATGATGCTGAACTGCTTATAGCAAACCTCCACTAGAAACAATTCCTATCAAGGTGGATGACCATTTAAAAAACGGAAGTATGAGGAGAAAGTCTTACTTACTTTTTAATGGCAAGTCAATGAGCAGCGCTTCTTCAGCCTCTAAAATAAAGCGGTTAAAAAGAGAAAATGAATGAGGCTCAAAGGTCTGTGGGGAGGTGTCAATATGTCATGACAACAGGATTCAATTGGCTCTTGCTACTAGCTGTTGACTTTCAAATGTCCGGCCAGCGTAAAGAAAGCACCTTGGACTTGTTCCACTACGACAAGCAATAACCTTGAGTTAATACTGCTACCATGGTTGGGAGTTAAGGAATGTCAAGTTTAAATGCCTGCAGGCTTTAGAGGGGCTCTGTATCATAATCAACTGTCTGTTGGTACAGGAACCGTTCTATATCAAATCTCTGATAACTAGTCTGAACTGTAGCAGTTCAATAACATTTCCCAAACATTTAGCCTAGTTACATTAAAAACTAATGGTAGGCCTACATGGATTTTAAAAGGTGAATTTAGACCTAGTGGTCACTTACCCCGCACAATCTGAAAATGACTGTTGATGGGTATTGACAACTGAGGTACCGGACAGGACATAACAGTTTCAGGGTTAGCCAAAACACCTAACCTGGAGGGAGAGGAGGAAATTATCTTTGGATACAGCATCCTAAATGGTTGGTCTTCAGATAGGAAGTTGAATTTGTTTTATTTGCATAAAACTTCATACAGTATAGAGAGCAAGAGAGGTGTTGTCATAGCGATTTCACAGACTTCTCCAAACACTTAAGAGGAAAAAAGAAATGTCAACAGAACTTATGTAACTTAGCCCAAACACAGTTGCCGTTTCATGATGCAAGGCATTCAAATGCAAGTGCAATGGAATGTAAATGATTAGATCTTTATATTAGAGCTTCAGAGCAGTGATGTGTGGGTTAATGTAGGGTCATGTTTCTCTCCCTGATGATGACAATGCAACAGCCAAAGCATCAGCAAACTGAAGTCGATTCCAACCGAAATCCATGCAAGACATTCAAATAAAAGAGAGCTTAGCCTCATATGAAATGATTACAAGGCCTGAGCTTTAATTCAAATCAAATGGAGCGTCTGTCTGAGCTGTGATGAGGGTTAATGTAGGTCATGTTTCACTCCCTAACAATGACTGCACAGCAGCAGCCAGGGCTTCAGAACATGTCCACACTTCCTTTCAATTCTTAACAGGAAATGTGATTACTGTGGAGTACTGCAACCCTTGCTGCTTGTCTGAATGTGTCGGGTTGGGAAAATCTGTTCCAAATAGGCTAGCTGGAGATGGCTCTGTAAATAGTATACCCAACTTCTCTTAGAAAATACCCCTAAAATGTCCCTTGTCATCTATCATCAACAAGTATACCTAGGCCTACTAATACCATGGCAACCTCTGTCCCTCCATTATCCCAGCAAAAAACTATCAATTCAATGTGTGACAGAGCTGGGCGATATGAACAGAAATCCATATTGCGATAAATTGCCTGAATTGATGCGATAACGATAAATAGAACAATACTTTCATAACATTCATGTCTACCAGTTTGTTTGTTTTATTATCCTTTAAACTACTACTAGTTTGATGGTTGTAGCCATCAATTGTCCCATTAACAATCACCCATAACTTATTTCATTTCAAACTTATCGGCTAGTATAGGCTACTTAACGTTACCATAATGAACGATAAACAAAATGCCTGTCGATAATTTTCAGTTTAACATAATTGAAAACCCATTTGCCATTGGAAGTATCCATGCCTGAAATCCTCCCCTCCTGGCACCTCTCCTGGTAATCCCTACATTATGAGCAGTTACAGCACGTTTCCTTCTAGTTGGTAGACTACTAGGCTAGCCACACACAAGGCCTGGGACCTCTCTAAGCCTATGAGAGCATAGCATAGGCCTACTATTCAGACTAGAGCAGGGCTTAGATTAAGTTTACTTTATTCGCCAACCGAAATGTGACTTCCGCTTTATCGCAACCTCCGAAAGACACACATACAGTGCATTCGGAAAGTATTCAGACGCCTTGACTTTTGTTACATTACAGCCTTATTCTAAAAAAAAAAATCTCATCAATCTACACACAATATCCCATAATGACAAAGCGAAAACAGGCTTTTCAAATATAAATATAAAAATACAGAAATACCTTATTTACATAAGTATTCAGACCCTTTGCTATGAGACTCGAAATTGAGCTCAGGTGCATCCTGTTTCCATTGATCATCCTTGAGCTGTTTCTACAACTTGATTGGAGTCCACCTGTGGTAAATTCAATTGATTGGACATGATTTGGAAAGACACACACCTGTCTATATAAGGTCCCACAGCTGACAGCGCATATCAGAGCAAAGATCAAGCCATGAGGTCGAAGCATTGTCCGTAGAATTCCGAGACAGGATTGAAGGTCCCCAAGAACACAGTGGCCTCCATCATTCTTAAAATGAAAGAAGTTTGGAACCACCAAGACTCTTCCTAGAGCTGGCCGCCTGGCCAAAATTAGCAATTGGGGGAGAAGGGCCTTGGATAGATGTGACCAATAACCTGATGGTCACTCTGACAGAGCTCCAGAGTTCCTCTGTGGAGATGGGAGAACCTTCCAGAAGGACAACCATCTCTGCTGCACTCCACCAATCAGGCCCTTATGGTAGAGTGGCCAGACGGAAGCAACTCCTCAATAAAAGGCACATGACAGCCCGCTTGGAGTTTGCCAAGGCACCTAAAGGACTCTCAGACCATGAGAAACAAGATTTTCTGGTCTGATGAAACCAAGATTGAACTCTTTGGCCTGAATGTTAAGCGTCACGTCTGGAGGAAACCTGGCACCATCCCTACGGTGAAGCATGGTGGTGGCAGCATCATAATGTGGGGATGTTTTTCAGCGGCAGGGACTAATAGACTAGTCAGAATCAAGGGAAAGATGAACGGAGCAAAGTACAGAGAGCTCCTTGATGAAAACCTGCTCCAGAGCGCTCAGTACCTCAGACTGGGGCAAAGGTTCACCTTCCAACAGAACAACAACCCTAAGCACACAGCCAAAACAACGCAGGAGTGGCTTCGGGATGAGTCTCTGAATGTCCTTGAGTGGCCCAGCCAATGTCCTTGAGTGGCCCAGCCAGAGCCCGATCGAACATCTCTGGAGAGACCTGAAAATAGCTGTGCAGCGACGCTCCCCATCCAACCTGACAGAGCTTGAGAGGATCTGCAGAGAATAATGGGAGAAACTCCTCAAATACAGGTGTGCCAAGCTTGTAGCGTCATACCCAAGAAGACTTGAGGCTGTAATCTCTGCCAAAGGTGCTTCAACAAAGTACTGAGTAAAGGGTCTGAATACTTATGTAAATGTGATATTTACGTTTTTTATAAATTTGCAAAAATTTATAAAAAGCAGTTTTTGCTTTGTCATTATGGGGTATTGTGTGTAGATTGACAAGGGGAAAAAACAATTTAATCAATTTTAGAATAAGGCTGTAACGTAACAAAATGCTGAAAAAGTCAAGGGGTCTGAATATTTTCCGAATGCACTGTACATATACAGGTTGGAGCAGGGGGCTGCCACACTGTTTCTGTGGGGGGTTAAGTGCCTTGGCTCAGTGTGTACACAGTTTTAATGCATTTAGGTAGTCGACCACGGAGTTTGTGTGCGCTCTCATGTGAGTCTCATTAGTGTAGGACATGGTGGTGGGACGCTGGTATAATAAGCAGCGTGATGGCTGGCACTGGGACTAACCTCGCTCTCTCGCTACTGCACACACACACCAGCTGTAATGGTCCTGAGTCTTACCGCTCGCTCGCTAAATAAAAACATAAAACAAGCAACCATGTGCTTGAGCTGCTGACTGAGAATCTCCTCATGTGCTGGCTGTCTGATAAAGCATAGAGTGGCGCTGTAACCAGGGCTTCTCAAAGTGGGGAGGTCCTGCAGGGGGTCCGCGCCCAGATATGAAAACATATTTAAAACAACATATAAAAACATCTGATTGCAGAAAAAGCCACTTTGGCAGCTGACTGCATCAACATGAGATTTGGACATGAAAATCACTAGGCGTTCTGAGATTTTTAATAAATGGCCTGCATGCATTTCACAGTGAACTCCCATCAGGACACAGCCAGGGCACTGCCGATCAATTCAGGCATAGTGCACTGGTCTATTGCTTTATGCTGTAGTGCTGCACTGTGTCTTTCTAGAGGCATACCTGTCAATCATCATTCACCCTCAAACATTATGCTGCTAAAACCGTAATGTGGAACCTTGTTATTCAAGGTAGACTACAGAACACCATGACAATCATTGGTATGGTCTTTCTGCATATAGTCTTGTAGAGATGGTCCACACAAGCAAAATGTATTGGAAGTAGCAGTCAGAGAGGAAGAGGTTTTGCAATGCAATGTTTCATCTCAAATTGTACACCACTGCTTGACAGAAATAAACCTGACCACTTGAGTGCAACTCATCATTATGACCCAGTATGCATGAGAAAGGCAGATATGAATTAACATGAATTTTTTGACACTGAGTTCTCTAATGTTAGTACTTACATAAACTCTCCAGAGAACTCAATGAGTGACAGTAGCCTGGGCTCCTTCTGACCTGACAGCCTTACCTCCTGTCCTCTTACAGTTTGAACATCACTATTAAGGAACCAGCAGCAATGATGAGAGGGCAGGGACACAGACTAGGGCAGACTAGAACTTGAAGACGAAACTATAAATAGGCCTAGTGACCAGAATATTGGCTATGATTTGGTCAACAAATATTAAACCACACTAGCTATTCCAGACTGTTGTCTATTCAAAGCTGTTGTGAAATACTTAAAATTGAGCTATTTGTTATTAACAATGGAATATGTGTATTGGCTTATGTGGTATTATTGAGATAAAAACATGTTTTAGCTAGTTAGTACAGTTGCATAACCTACAAACAGTAAGTAATCATGACCATAGACTGTATGGGCCAAGTAACTGGTTATTTGGTTACATTGTTTTGGAAACTGAAGCAAAAAGCAAGAGTTCGTAGGCTGTTGCCATTCCATGGCATGCACAGCTGGACAGAGCCATAGAGATCCTGTTAAATTCTATTTTGTATTCTAATTCTATGGACAGAATATTCCTAGCTAGCTAACTAGGCTAGCTGGGTTAACAAATCAAACTTTATTTATATAGCACATTTAAGAAACATGACTGCAATGCAATGCACTTAACAGGAAAATGAATAAAAACAATAAAAAGACCATGAGACAAACAATATATATATATAAGCCATGGAAGTTCAAACTGTAAAAGCAGATAACAAGGACTGTAGAAACTAATCCGTGGTAAAAAATATATTTTTTTTTAAAAATAAAACTTAAATGTAATAAAATTATATTTACAAAATATAAATGAGCTAAAATAACTGAATGACTAAAAGACTAAGAGCAACCTATTGAAAAACAAAGCTAAGAGGCTTCATGCCTCTTGGTCCTAGGCTTTGGGATAGTTAAAAGGCCGGTGCCAGAGGACCTGAGAGACCTACTGGGTACATTCCTTAAAAGCATGTCTGTCATGTATTGGGGTGCACGATCGTGAAGTGATTTAAAATACCAATAAAATAATATTTTCTAAACAAACTCTAAAACTTTCAAAATCTCTTCTAAAACTAACAGAAAACCACCGCAGAGACTTAAAACCGGTGTAATGTGTGCTCTCCGTATGGTCTTGGTCAGTTGACCAATGGCTTTCTTGGGTAGACAACAGGAGCGCATTAGTATTAAATCAACTCTGCTAGTAATACAATCATGGATCATTCTTTCAGTGTCAGACAGAGATAAACGAAAAACCCTAATCAGCTGAAATGTTCAGAGTAAACACAAACAAATATTTGACCTGCAAGACAATATTACTAAAAATATAAAATGCAACCAAACCTAAACAGTTGGACAATAATTTAGCTGGCTAGTTAGCGAACTAAAAACCTATAGCTATGTTAGCATGCTAACAGCTAGCTACCTAGTTTAAAAAAAGCAAAAACAAAAAAATGGCAGACTTTTAAAAGGATATTGCCAAGCACTGCTCGTCACGTCCGAAGCCCAAAGAGGAATCCATTCTCACCAATATATATTTAGCTAAGGGTGGTAACTAATGGTCTATACACGGTCCGTCCAGACGATTTACACAAGGAAAGTTCCGGGTGACAGCTGCCTAAGGGGGCGTGCTAGGGCCTAGTAGTAGTCATGCTATGTTGATATCGCTGTCATTTGAAAAATGTTAGTCTGGTCCTGGAAGTTTGTTATCCAGACGCAACTCACGTTCGCGCGCGCACAAAATAGGCGTGGTAGTTAGCTAGCTGTGTTCATAAACATGCCGGTAGCATAGCTAGCTTTGATAATAATGTAATTAGATCGCTAGTAAATCCTCCATGTGGCACCTTGTCTTCAATGCTGTCTTCCCTCCTCTTCAATGTCACAGCATCCAGCTGCTACGAAAACTCCGTCTTTTGCGACGTGTAGTTACAGCCAGCGTCAGATTTCGGTAATGGGACCTTCTACGCTGCGCATCATTTGCGCATGCATATTAAGAGCAGTAAGGACGGGGTCATATGGGAAGAAAAAAAATATTCATTCCCATACACAGGCTACATCAACGGGGATACGAGTGTTTGCCGGCTGCATTCAATGCGTTTCAACGGTCAAATGAAACCATCAATACCAGATCAATATCGCCATCTGCCGGCCTTTGGGCTATGTGTGCAATTTTTATTTTACCTTTATTTAACTAGGCAAGTCAGTTAATAACAAATTCTTATTTACAATGACGGCCTACACCGGCCAAACCAGCCGGTTGTGATACAGCCTGGAATCGAACCAGGGGGTCTGTAGTGATGCCTCAAGCACTGAGATGCAGTGCCTTAGACCACTGCGCCACAAAAGGTACAGAATAGAATTGTTTGCAAATTGATCATACCATAAGGAATGAGCCCACAAAAACCCTTTAGCCCCTATTCACTTTTATTAGGCTAATACAGTACCTAATTAGGGACTACATCTTCTAATCTTACCTGGACTAACATTATCAATAATGTGGTTGAACCTATGCGGCAGGTAGCCTAGCGGTTAGAGTGTTGGGCAAGTTATCAAAAGGTTGCTAGTTTGAATCCCAGAGCCGAGAAGGTGAAAAAAATCTGTTGATGTGCCCTTGAGCAAGGCACTTCATGCTAATTGCTTCAGGGTGGCTGTTGATAATGGCTGGCCGTGACCCCATTCTCCAGGGGGAGTTGGGATATGCAAATTATGATTATATGCTTGATGGACAGGTTAGTGTAGGCTACATGAAGATCAAATCAAATGTATTTATAAAGCCCTTTTTACATTAGCAGATGTCACAAAGAACTTGAACCTGGCGCCGACGAAGATGGCGGCCTCGCGACTAGCTCTTAGGAAACTTTGCAGTATTTTGTTTTTTTATGTATTATTTTTTACATTATTAGCTCAGAAAGTGTTTTGCATCATTACATACAGCCGGGAAAAACTATTGGATATCAGAGCGGCAGTAACTCACCAACATTACGACCAGGAATACGACTTTCCCGAAGCAGATCCTTTGTTTGCTCTCCCCAGGGCAACTGAACTGATTCCAGCGGCTGACCCAAAACATCACCGGCGGTGATGAGGCACTCGGAGCGGCCTGCTGGTCCGACTTAGGAGGCGCGCACACCACCCACCGCTTCCAAGTATTCTACTCGCTAATGTTCAATCTTTAGTTAACAAAGTCGACAAACTACGGGCAAGGATTTCTTTACAGAGAGACATCAAGGCCTGTAACATATTCTGTTTCACGGAAACATGGCTCTCTTGGGATATTCTGTCAGAATCGGTCCAGCCAGATGGGTTCTCAGTTCATCGCGCAGACAGGAATAAATATCTCTCCGGGAAGCAGAAGGGCGGAGGTGTGTGATTCATGATTAACGACTCGTGGTGTAATTGTAGTAACATACAGGAACTCGAGTCCTTCTGTTCACCCGACCTAGAATATCTCACAATCAAATGCCGACCGTATTATCTCCCAAGATAATTTTCTTTGGTTATAGTCATGGCCGTGTATATCCACCCTCAAGCTGATACCACGACGGCCCTCAAAGAACTTCACTGGACCTTATGCAAACTGGAAACCACATATCCTGAGGCTGCATTTATTGTAGCCGGGGATTTTAACAAAGCAAATTTGAGGACTAGGCTGCCGAAGTTCTATCAACATATCGACTGTTGTACTCACACTGCTAAAATCCTCGACCATTGCTATTCAAACTTCCGGGATGGTTATAAGGCCCTTCCCTGCACTCCTTTCGGAAAATCTGACCACGACTCCATTTTGCTTCTCCCTTCCTATAGGCAGCAACTCAAACAGGAAGTACCCGTGCTAAGGACTATTCAACGCTGGTCTGACCAATCAGAATCCACGCTTCAAGATTGTTTTGATCACGCAGACTGGGATATGTTCCGGGTAGCTTCTGAAAATAGTTTAGACATATACACTGAAACAGTGACTGAGTTTATCAGGAAGTGTATAGGTGATGTTGTGCCCACTGTGACTATTAAAACCTCAAGGCTGCCGGCCCAGACGGAATCCCTAGCCGCATCCTCAGAGCATGCGCAGACCAGCTGGCTGGTGTGTTTATGGACATATTCAATCTCTCCCTTTCCCAGTCTGCTGTTCCCACATGCTTCAAGAGGGCCACCATTGTTCCTGTACCCAAGAAAGCAAAGGTAACTGAAATGAATGACTATCGCCCTGTAGCACTCACCTCTGTCATCATGAAGTGCTTTGAGAGACTAGTCAAGGATCATATCACCTCTACCTTACCTGTCACCCTAGACCCACTTGAATTTGCTTACCGCCCCAATAGATCCACAGACGATGCAATTGCCATCACACTGCACACTGCCCTATCCCATCTGGACAAGAGGAATACCTATGTAAGAATGCTGTTCATTGACTATAGCTCAGCATTCAACACCATAGTACCCTCCAAGCTCATCATTAAGCTCGAGGCCCTGGGTCTGAACCCCGCCCTGTGCAACTGGGTCCTGGACTTCCTGAAGGGCCGCCCCCAGGTGGTGAAGGTAGGAAACAACATCTCCACTTCGCTGATCCTCAACACTGGGGCCCCACAAGGGTGCGTGCTCAGCCCCCTCCTGTACTCCCTGTTCACCCATGACTGCGTGGCCAAGCACGCCTCCAACTCAATCATCAAGTTTGCAGAAAAACACAACAGTAGTAGGCTTGATTACCAACAATGACGAGACCGCCTACAGGGAGGAGGTGAGGGCTATGGGAGTGTGGTACCAGGAACATAACCTCTCACTCAACGTCAACAAAACAAAGGAGATGATCGTGGACTTCAGGAAACAGCAGAGGGTGCACCCCCCTATCCACATCGACGGGACCGCAGTGGAGAAGGTGGAAAGTTTTAAGTTCCTTGGCCTACACATCACCGACAAACTGAAATGGTCCACCCACGCAGACAGTGTGGTGAAGAAGGCGCAACAGAGCCTCTTCAACCTCAGGAGGCTGAAGAAATATGGCTTATCACCTAAAACCAGAGGGTGGTGTGGTCTGCCGAACGCATTACCGGGGGCAAACTACCCGCCCTCCAAGACACATACAGCACCCGATGTCACAGGAAGGCCAAAAAGATCATCAAGGACATCAACCACCCGAGCCACTGCCTGTTCACCCCGCTATCATCCAGAAGGCGAGGTCAGTACAGGTGCATCAAAGCTGGGACCGAGAGAATGAAAAACAGCTTCTATCTCAAGGCCATCAGACTGTTAAATAGCCATCAATAGCACATTAGAGGCTGCTGCTGCCTATTGAAATCACTGGCCACTTTAAGAAATAGAACACTAGTCACTTTAATAATGTTTACATATTTTGCACTACTCATCTCATATGTACAGTGGGGAAAAAAAGTATTTAGTCAGCCACCAATTGTGCAAGTTCTCCCACTTAAAAAGATGAGAGAGGCCTGTAATTTTCATCATAGTTACACGTCAACAACTATGACAGACAAAATGAGATTTTTTTTCTCCAGAAAATCACATTGTAGGATTTTTAATGAATTTATTTGCAAATTATGGTGGAAAATAAGTATTTGGTCAATAACAAAAGTTTCTCAATACTTTGTTACATACCCTTTGTTGGCAATGACACAGGTCAAACGTTTTCTGTAAGTCTTCACAAGGTTTTCACACACTGTTGCTGGTATTTTGGCCCATTCCTCCATGCAGATCTCCTCTAGAGCAGTGATGTTTTGGAGCTGTCGATGGGCAACACGGACTTTCAACTCCCTCCAAAGATTTTCTATGGGGTTGAGATCTGGAGACTGGCTAGGCCACTCCAGGACCTTGAAATGCTTCTTACGAAGCCACTCCTTCGTTGCCCGGGCGGTGTGTTTGGGATCATTGTCATGCTGAAAGACCCAGCCACATTTCATCTTCAATGCCCTTGCTGATGGAAGGAGGTTTTCACTCAAAATCTCACGATACATGGCCCCATTCATTCTTTCCTTTACACGGATCAGTCATCCTGGTCCCTTTGCAGAAAAACAGCCCCAAAGCATGATGTTTCCACCCCCATGCTTCACAGTAGGTATGGTGTTCTTTGGATGCAACTCAGCATTCTTTGTCCTCCAAACACGACGAGTTTAGTTTTTACCAAAAAGTTATATTTTGGTTTCATCTGACCATATGACATTCTCCCAATCCTCTTCTGGATCATCCAAATGCACTCTAGCAAATTTCAGACGGGCCTGGACATGTACTGGCTTAAGCAGGGGGACACGTCTGGCACTGCAGGATTTGAGTCCCTGGCGGCGTAGTGTGTTACTGATGGTAGGCTTTGTTACTTTGGTCCCAGCTCTCTGCAGGTCATTCACTAGGTCCCCCCGTGTGGTTCTGGGATTTTTGCTCACCGTTCTTGTGATCATTTTGACCCCACGGGGTGAGATCTTGCGTGGAGCCCCAGATCGAGGGAGATTATCAGTGGTCTTGTATGTCTTCCATTTCTTAATAATTGCTCCCACAGTTGATTTCTTCAAACCAAGCTGCTTACCTATTGCAGATTCAGTCTTCCCAGCCTGGTGCAGGTCTACAATTTTGTTTCTGGTGTCCTTTGACAGCTCTTTGGTCTTGGCCATAGTGGAGTTTGGAGTGTGACTGTTTGAGGTTGTGGACAGGTGTCTTTTATACTGATAACAAGTTCAAACAGGTGCCATTAATACAGGTAACGAGTGGAGAACAGAGGAGCCTCTTAAAGAAGAAGTTACAGGTCTGTGAGAGCCAGAAATCTTGCTTGTTTGTAGGTGACCAAATCCTTATTTTCCACCATAATTTGCAAATAAATTCATTAAAAATCCTACAATGTGATTTTCTGGAAAAAAAATTCTCAATTTGTCTGTCATAGTTGACGTGTACCTATGATGAAAATTACAGGCCTCTCTCATCTTTTTAAGTGGGAGAACTTGCACAATTGGTGGCTGACTAAATACTTTTTTCCCCCACTGTATATACTGCATTCGTTCTATAATATTATTCTGTATCTTAGTCCATGCCGCTCTGTCATTGCTTGTCCATATATGTATATATTCTTAAATCCCATTCCTTACTTTTTTGTGTGTATTGGGTATATGTTGTGAAATTGTTAGATATTACTGCACTGTCGGAGCTAGAAGCACAAGCATTCCGCTACACCCGCTATAACATCTGCTAAACACATGTATGTGACAAATACAATTTGATTTGATTTGGTTATACAGAAACCCAGCCTAAAACCCCAAACAGCAAGCAATGCAGACATAGAAGCACAGTGGCTAGGAAAAACTCCCTAGAAAGGCAGGAACCTAGGAAGACACCTAGAGAGGAACCAGGCTCTGAGGGGAGGCCAGTCCTCTTCACAGATGATGTAATTTAATAGTACAAAATCAAACAAACATTTGATTGACCCAGTGCAACTGAAATTGTTGTATGATTTCCCAAAACTTCTAAGCAATAAGTTATGTTTATTGAAAGAACTCACCAACTAAAACCATGGTGTCAGGTTATTGTGTGTGTGGCTCACTCCACTCATCTCAATATAATGAGGTTAGGTTACCATATCATATACTACCAGGGTTTGGTAGGTTACTTTCTAAATGTTATCCGTTACAGTTACTAGTTACCTATCCAAAATTGTAATCAATAACATAGCTTTTGGATTTCCCAAACTCAGTAATGTAATGTGATTACTTTCAGTTACTTTTGAATTACTTTCCCCTTAAGAAGAATTAGAAGACAAAAAGGATCCATCAAACGCATTTGGTGTGTCATCATAGTGGTTTCTGACTTGTGGTCAGACTCGCTCAGGTGGGACAAACTTAAACTAGCTCCTTTTTTTCCAAGCTGAATTGAATGTCATTGAGAAAACAGAAAGGTTTCATAATGGAGAAGAAAAATCACAGAAAAATCATTTCTGAATTTAAAAGTAATCCAAGAAGTAATCATCTAGTTTTTCAAAAGTATCTGTAATATGATTCTTTTTTTGGTAATCAGATTAGATGTAATTACATGTAATCAGTTACTCCCCAACCCTGTATACTACGTATATTAAGGAAAGGTAGATCACATGAAATGACAAGAAAATAATTGGTACTAAATCTTCATTTTCAGTCCAAGACTAATGTGTTGCTGCTGTCTATTCCCACCAGCTTCCCTGTGGATTCTCAGGAATTGCAGGCCTTTTAGAATGGAATACCATACAATAAATCCCTGTAGATATTCAGACACTGCAGGCCTTTATCTTATGTAAATTAGATTGGATTCAAATTAGATTGGAGTCTATTCTAGTTAGCCTATTCTACTCTACTCCCTGTGGGCCTGTATTTTATGGATATTCTATTCTATTCTATTCACTATTATCTTATGTATATTCTATTCTATTCCCTATTATTTTATGGATGGTGTATGGGCTGAAGTCCCTGTGGGGCCAGATGTCTCCGAACTTGGGCATCTCCTCCTCCCCCTCCCTCTCCACCATCTCCACCATCATGTCACTGGACTAAAGATCCCCGCCGCACGGTAGGAATGGGTGAGGCGGCAGAAGGAGGAGGCATCAGAGGTGTCGTCGTCATACTGGTCCTCCATGACTTCCCGGCGGCGACTGTGGCTGGTCTTGAGCTTGTCCCCCAACTCTGTCACCAAGTCGTTGACATCCCTCACCACGGTGGAGCGCAGGCCGAACAGACAGAGCAGGAAGACTAGACCGGCGCAGATCCCTGAGACAAAGTAGAGGGCCACTCTCTCTGGAAGACCTGTGGGTGGAGGGATTATACACTAGTCTAAGGTGAAACTAGCATGATATTGTTAAATGAGGAATAGATAGAAGAACTAGCATGATATTGTTAAATGAGGAAAAGATAGAAGAACTAGCATGATTTTGTTCAATGAGGAATAGATAGAAGAACTAGCATGATATTGTTCAATGTGGAATAGAGAGAAGACAAAGCTATACAATCAAGAGGGTTACATTTGGTTGGCCTGGTTCCAGATCTGTTTGTGCTGTCTTGCCAACTCCTACAGCTATACAGAACAAACAGATCTGGGACCTGGCTAACGATTGGTGCCTGCTGATCATTAAAGTAAGACAAGGCATACTATATACAGTACAAAAAGCTCTGCTTATGAGTAACCAGCCTACATGCACACAGCAAACAATAGACATACCCAGTATTTTGTCAACCATTTCCAGAGAGTTGGTATAAAGCACGTTTTGAGGCGTGATGATGCCGGGGCCAGTGTACCAGCGTCCTGAAGATGAGAGGGGACTTACTGTGCCTTCTGCCCAACGGCTGCAAATCATATTGTCCACTGATCTAATAACACGGCTAATAGTTGAGCTAAAGCTACATTTACTTGGATTTATTGATCTGTAGTTGTCTTACCATGTGTGAAGTCTGAGATCAAGAAAGGGTCTGATGTTGATCCACTCCGTTCCAAATCTTCCAAGAGATATTGGTTAACTGGTGAGGCAAAAGAGCATAAATTCTGATCAATTGCTACTGAAAAAGTGTCTCGGGAATCTGGTGAGACCACGAAAACAGAAGGCAAGATGATATGAACAACTCTTTCTTCAGAACTCAAAATCTCATCACAGCTCAAGGATGGCTAATGGATTCATTGATTGTACTGTGGGTTATAGACATCATGCTGTGTGTCTCACATGGTAGTGGCCCTGTTCATTGGTTTATTTGGATCCCCATTAGCTTATGTTGAAGCAGCATTCTTCCTGGGGTCCACACAAAACCTAAAACTTGACAAGTATCAAAACACTGATACACTGATAGACAAGGACAGTCACACACATTTAAAATACAACGATATACAAACACTACAACTAAAATAATAAAAAGAATACAACTAAAATATAATGTGTGTGTTAGAGTGTGTCTGTGTGTGCGTATGTTTGTGTGTTAAAGTGTGTCCCTCACAGTCCCCGCCATTCCATGAGATGTTCTTTTTTTTAAAAAGGTAATTTTGCTGTTTGCTTGAGTAATTGGAGATGGACGGGAGCAGTGGCGACCCGTCATTCATTGAGCCCCACTGTCACGAACTCTGATGCGGATGTGGTGCGAATCAATAGTAGGACACAGGAGCTCAGTTAATCCAGACTTTACTAGAAAATCCAAAATGATAACACGGGTCAAACAACCCGGAGGCGAAACATACGCCACAGTGCGTAAAGTACTCCCAAACCGAACTGCGCACGAACAATAGTGCGACGGTAAAACAAAGAGAGTCTAGCAAACAGCACTGCACCAAGCGACAGGAAAACAATTACACACAACACAAGACAGAAACCACGAGAACTTATAGGACACATAATCAACACTAAACATGAACAGGTGTACTAAACAGACCAAACCAATCAAACATAGAAAACAAAGAACGGTGGCAGCTAGTACTCCGGAGACGACGACCGCCGAAGCCTGCCCGAACAAGGAGGAGGAGCAGCCTCGGCCGAAACCGTGACACCCACCTGTTTGTTTTGTTGTTGTTGTTGTCTGTTTTGCATGTTATTTTGGCATTAATACGTGTCACATATCAGTTTGCAAACAATGTAAAAAGAAAATCATTGAATGAATAAAGCCTCATACTAACATGGTCTCTTTTTTGCTTTCTTGAGTAAGGCAGCTCCAAAATGCAGCCAGCGGAAAATATGGAGCGTAGGGGCTGGTAATGTTCTCTAGTTGCGGCGTGATTGCCTCAGTGTTCTGTCACTCATGGAGACACTACGTCACCGCAAAATCTACTGGTAGAGCTTGAGAATTCAAGCCCCTTAGGTGCTGCCATAAAGTTACATTAGAAGTGCCCATCCATGAAGGCTCAAGGTCATTGGCCACAGATAAGACAATCTACTGGCAAATTATTTTCAATCCTTGTCATATAAAGATAAATTATGAAGAGAAATTATAGATAAAAAGTATCGGCGCTCATTGGCCATTGGACATAAACATTACACAATCGCAAATTCAACAATGAGTGGTTTGGAAGGAATCAGTGCCTAACTGTAAGCATTGCAAAGCAATCACTACCCTGCTATTCAGTGGAGTGGGTGTGTGGTCCAATTCCGGGTTTAAAGGTCTCTTTTCCAAGCTTAAAAGGATAAACATTTAACAAGATGGGCCAGAAAATCCAGCATGACTTCTGCCATGTTCAAAACAACTGGAAACTTGGAACTGGGAAATCTCAGACTTCAGTGAGTTCAAGACAACTGGGAACTCTGAAAAAAACGAGATCCGACTGGGAAAATACGTTTTGATAGGTCATCCAACTCGGAACATCGGGCCTCGTTCTAGAGCTCCGACCTGAAGATCACTGACGTCATGATTCAACCTTCGGAGTTCCCAGTTGTCTTGAAAGTGCCATATATCCAGAGAATGCCAGACTTTGATGACAAAGTTCAATGACAAAATTTGTCCACGAAGGACCGCCGCGCCACCTTCTTGTTCAATTGAGCGCAGCACAACAAGGTGAGTCCAAAAATGTATTGTATGCAGCTGCATAAATTATGTAATATGCCAGGGAGATAAGTATACTGTAGCTAAGAAGGTAATACTAAGTGTATGTTGTGTAATAAGCTGTTAGTAGCCCATGTGCCTCACCCTAATAATTTGGTCCCTTTCCCCCTCCTAACTTAGCCTACTGTTCATACTTGGTGGTGCACATGTAGCCTATGGCCTGTTTTAGAGAAATGTAATCATTGAATATTGTAAGAGCTTTCATTGTTTGCTTATATGCCCACTTTATTTATCCTACAGTTCTGACTTGGTGTACAGGGAGAATACTGTAAGAACAGCCCATGTTCTGAATTCTGTCGCTGTAGATTTCAAAAGTGCTGAACAAATAGTTATATTGACTATGTCCGTCCTAGCTCGCTCATTAATGTCTTAATCAAAATTACAGATTGCCTCTTATCCGCTAGTTGTCCCCTTATGCCATAGTTTGTACATCTCCATTGTCAGTAGAAACCACATTTGTTTAAGCAAGTCAGCCATTTCAGCTTTGTTTTTTTAAAGGCAGTAAATGAGGCTGAATTAACTGTTTCATTGCCAGACAAGGCTCCGCTGATAGCCAGGTGTAGCAGTGGTAAGGATTCACTCCATGGTGCTGAAAAGACAGCTCTGTTGTTGGGACAGCTTTATGTAGGCCCTAACAGTTTGTGGGCACCATTTGTCACCATTATAGTGCAATTAATGTATTGTTTAGTGTTGTGCAGTGGCTTTGCTGGCATGCATCCCAAAAAATCCCCACTGGAAGGGAGTTCCATGCTATCATGGCTCTGTATAATACTGTGCTTTGCCGTGAATTCGTTTTGGACTTGGGGACTGTTGTCACGCCCTGGCTCTGGGGACTCTTAAATGTTGAGCCAGGTGTGTAGTTTATATGTTATGTTTTTCTATGTTTAGCTTCTAGATCGTTTTGATCTGTTGGCCAGGGTGGTTCCCAATCAGAGGCAGCTGTAGCTCGTTGTCTCTGATTGGGGACCATACTTAGGCAGCCTGTTGGCACCAGTTAGTTGTGGGATCTTGTTCCGTATAGGTTTGTTGTGTTAACCTTAAGACTTCACGTATCGTTTGTTTGTTGTTTTGTCGTGTGTTCAGTACTTTAATAAACATGTACGCTTATCACGCTGCGCCTTGGTCCTTCTCGTCCGTAAACGATCGTGACAACTGTGAAGAGACCCCTGGTGGCATGGGGTATGTATGTGTGTCTGAGCTTAATGTTTTAGATTATGCAGACAATCTGGAATTTTCATTACAGAAATATTTCTCATAAAAACTAGGAGAAGCAATTCATCTCTGGTCAACCCTCAACCAGGAAAGACTGGCATGCATGTTGTTGATGTTAGTTCTGTATGTGCAGTTAAGGGCAAGGCGTGCTGCTCTATATTGAGCCAGCTGCAGCTTTGCTAGGTCTTTCTTTGCTGCACTTGACCATATTACTGGACAGTAATCAAGATGGGACAAGATCAGAGCCTGAACAACTAGTAGATCTTTATGTTAAAAACACAGAACATATTTTTATAACAGACATACCCCTCCCCATCTTCACAACAACTTTGTCAATATGACTTGACCATGATAATTGATCATCCAATGTTATACCTAGGAGTTTAGCTTCCTCAACTTGCTCAATGGTCACACCCTTTATACACAACAATTTATGATCAATAACATCAAAGGCTGCACTAAAATCTAACAATACAGCTCCAACTATAATCTTACTATCCATTTATTTTAACCAATCATCAGTCATCTGAGTCAGTGCAGTACAAGTTGAGTGCCCTTCTCTATATGCATGCTAAAAGTCAGTAGTTAACTTGTTCTCTGAAAAATAGCATTGTACTTGGTCAAACACAATTCTCTCCATCAGTTTACGAAGAGCAGGCAGCTGTCACGTTCGTTGAAGGACAGGTCAGACCAAGGCGCAGCGTGAAATGCATACATGTTTATTATCCAAAATAAACACACGAACAAAACAAAACATCGTAACGTGCCATCCTCAGGCTAAATACAATACAATACAATACAATACAATACAATACAATACAATACAATACAATACAATACAATACAATACAATACAATACAATACAATACAATACAATACAATACAATACAATACAATACAATACAATACAATACAATACAATACAATACAATACAATACACGGAACAAGATCCCACAACTAATGAGTGCCAACAGGCTACTTAAGTATGATCCCCAATCAGAGACAACGAGCGACAGCTGCCTCTGATTGGGAATCACACCCGGCCAAACATAGAAATACACAACCTAGAATGCAACATAGAAATACTAACATAGATATCCACACCCTGACTCAACATACAAGAGTCCCATAAGTCAGGGCGTGACAGCAGCAAACTGATTGGGCGGCTGTTAGAGACAGCAAAGGGTGCTTTAATAATTGTAATAATTTATTGAACTTATTTAGTGCTATTCATTACATAAACAAATCTCAAAGTGCTGTAAAGCAACAACAACAAAAAAACGAGCAATTTAAAAACATAATTAATCATCATGAGTTGATCGACGGTCAAGAGACTGAAGGTTGAGAAAGTTAATGGCTTGAGTGAGGTCAGCGGAGGGAGGAGGTGGTCAAAGGGAGAGCCGGGAGCAGCAGGCAGCACGTTGTCATCACGGTGTCTCGCCATCCACGCCGTCTGTGGCTTTGTAGTAGGACTCAGTCAGATGAGGTTAGAGTTCCGTACTAGCCACTGGACTAGCTAGCTAGCTACTCTTCACTACTATCAAAATGCAGCACCCACTTGGATGATGCTACGGCATCATCTTTACTATTTTTAGGCAGTGGATTTAATTTAGTGCCCTTCCACACCTGTGGACACACACACTCCTTTAGGCTTTGGTTAAAGATATAGCAAATAGGAGTGGCAATACAGTCTGCTACCATTCTCAATAGTTTCCCATCAATGTTGTCTATACCTGGTGGCTTATCATTATTGATGGATAACAATAGTTTTTCCACCTCTCCTACACTAACTTGACGAAATTCAAAACAGCAATCCTTCTCCTTAAATATTAGATATTTTATACAAAAATATGATGGTTCACTGTTCAAAGTTGTCATTTCACTTCTTAGTTTTTCCACTTTACTAGTGAAATAGTCATTGAAATGATTGGCAATATCAAAAGGTTTTGTTATAAATTACCCATCAACTTCAATGAATGATGGAGATCAATTGGGTTTTCTACCCATGATATCATTTAAGGTACCCCAAAGCCTTTTCCATTGTGCTTTATGTAATTTATCTTGGTTTGGTAGGGTCGTTTTTTCTTATTTTTGTTAAGTTTAATCACAACATTTCTCAATGTACATTATGTCAACCAATCAGCTGAGCAGCCTGACTTGTTTGCCACCTCTTTTGCATAATTTAATTGAACCATAAAATTCAATTCATCATCAACTCAGAGGGCTCTAACAGTTCTCACAGTTAATTTCTTAACAGGTGCACGCTTGTCAACAATTGGCATGAATCATTTTACAAATATTTCAAGTGATGCATCTGAATTCACTTCCTCATACACATCAGACCAGCATACATTTGTTACATCTTCACCAAAAGAGTCCTGAGAATTTGTTTGGTATGATCTCTTATAAAATACTTTAGGCCCAACCTTTGGCTTTCCTTGTTATTGCCACAATGTTATGGCCACAATGTTATGATCACTACAGCTAATGGGAACTGATATTGCTTTGGAGCAAAGCTCTGCAGCATTAGTGAAGATATGATCAATACAAGCACACTATAGGTGTGCACTCTAGTTGGTTGAGTGATAACCTGGGTCATATTACAGGCATTAGTCACCGTTAGAAGCTTCCTCTTGAGAGGGCAACTAGTTGCTAAGCAGTCAATGTTGAGGTGACCTAGAAAATAGACCTCTCTGGTAACATCGCACACACTAACAAGCATTGCACACATATTATCCAAATACTGACTGTTAGCACTTGGTGGCCTATAGCAGCACCCCAAAAGACCTCCGGTCACTCACTGCATGTGAAGGACACTCTTAGGTGCTTCCTGGTGCCAGGGAAACATGGGTCCCCAAAGCTTTGAGTGTCCGCCAGCACTGAGCAGTTGGCTCGGCCGTGACACCTGCATGACACCTTCCTCAGGAAAGATGGTGACAGACACTCTGAAGGATAGATGTATACTCATATCAGACGTGGGTCAAATATGTTAAATACGTTCAAATGCTTGAGCTGTGCTTGATTTAGTCAGGTACAAAGGAGCCAATGGAGTAGTCCCAAAAGTACAAACTCCAAGCTTAATCAAGCAAAAATATTTGAGATAGGTATTTGACCCTGGTCTGACTCTGATATACAGTAGGTTGTAAAGGTTTAAAACATGCATAGGTCGAGGGTATATCCATATACTTCATGCCTACTCGTGTGTTGCTCGTAGTAAGCGACATATTAGTAACACACTTTTCATTATGTGTTGATAAATGCACATTATTTTAATCCTAGTATTTGACCACTAGATGGCACTAGTTCCCTGTTTCTGACCAATGACTATGGTTTCAGACCATGTCAGGCTGTGGCGCAGATTCCTGAGGACAGTTGGGACTCCCATGCAGCAGGTGGCCAAATGTAGCCGAGTAGATAGCCAGGACAGTGTCATTCTTACACACCAGCCCGTGTCTAGTTTTCACACACCAACCTAGTATGGTGGTGCTCTGAAAGATTAAAACAGCAGTATCATCACTGACAAAGTGACTGTATAATATATTTCAATACAATTTGATAATAATATTGTATTCTATACAGTTAAATAGAAACAGACAAATGTCATTCTACTTTCTGCAGGGACAAGACAACAATATCTGAGTGAGAGAAAAATATGAGCATTTACATTCAAGTCATTAGGTCTCAGGAGTAACCTTGCCTGAGACCTAAGGACTTTCATTAGCTCCCAGAACAGACTAACACAGTCTTGAGGCATACCAGATAACCAGGTTCGAACCCACAATTTATTAAATCACTGTTGGAGTTATTCCTGACAGTATGTGATTCATATTATTTAGGTGAAGAGCAACATTTTCAAAGACTTGTCAACTTGTGGAGCCAACTGCTGATAACTGATCCTGTTTTGCTTTCATAAATAATGGTATAGTGCTGTACTTTACCTGGGTAGCAACAGAGAAAGCGCATTCAGTGCTGTCCTCGGTCATGTTTGTGTTTGAAGGGGACACAAGTTCTTGCTTGGGACATGGTGTCCGTAGAACGCTGACAGGACGGATACAGAGGTTCTGGAGGGACACTTGATAGACAGGGTGTCCCCATCACAGGCATGAGCAGTGTGGTTTTTCAGGACTGAAAAGGAACAGATGGTTTGCATGGAGATGAAACTTAGACCTCAAGCATTAACCTGGTGTCCTGCTGTTGATCAAAATGTCCATTCACCACCTCTTAAGAAATGTAGCATCAATTGCACATATACATTGTTCTAACAAATAGGCCCTATAAAGCATTATTATTCAGAAATACTGTACTGTAATTGATTCTACATTTAACAGGGAGGCAATCTCAGACAAATGCCAACAGTACAATATGGCACTAGTCAAACACCATGTCATATCCAATCTCCCAGGAGTGGTGTTAATCACCTTTTTATTACTTGACAAGCTGTTCAGAGTTTATGAAACATATGTCAGAAATAAAGGATGACGTCACAGCCAAGAAGCCATATAGGGCTTGATACACGAACCAAGACTAAATAGAGTTAGTAATAAATCATTTGCCATACAAATAGAAGAACCGACCTAACACAGAATGAGTTTGCTGTTCCTAAATCATCATCTTTTAACAATGAAATTACATGACCTCTCCTAAACCCTCTTGGCTGGTTTCCCAGAAACAGATTAAGCCTATCCTGGACTAAAAAACACTTTAAATGGAGAATCTCCTTTGATTGAACATGCTTCTTAATCGAGGCTTAATCTGCAAGAGCAAACAAATAGTTTGACACATTACACAATGTGTGTCCTGTGTCATTGTTCTCATGGTTACCCAGCCATGGTTACAAGAGGGTTGTGTCCCAAACACTGGGAGTATCTCTCCTGAGCAGTTTTGTAGTATGATACATAGACCTAGAAAAACACATAGGATAACAGAGTTCATAAGAGAGTTGGATTCATAGAAATAGAATGCCCTAGAAAGGACAAAACATTGACTTAAATGGGTATTATTCGTTCTAGTCATGCTTATTCTATGGTTGGATCTGCCCTCATCCTATTGTCATGATATCCTGGGCCATAGAAATAGAATGACTTGACAGAATATCCTTTCTAGTCATTCTATTTCTTTTCCCTGACCCCTCTATGAGTCTTCCTGGCTGGGTCTGCTTTGTGTTCCCCAGTGGAAGGCAGCTGCACAGAGCCCCAGTAGGGCAGTACCAGGCTCTCCCTCACAATAAGCTATTCTTAGGGCAGCTCATGGCTTACAGCCGTACACAGATGTTGATCCCTGTAAGGGTCAAATATACTGTAGCGGTAGAGTGACAATGGCAAGCTCCAGACAGAGGCATCACTGGTCAGTGGTGGTCACCCCCCGTGTGGATTGGCTGTCTATCTTGTCCAAACAAATCATCACGTAACATCTCTGTTTGTTGTCATGATGATGTGTCTTGCATTCGTCGATGACGATGTAACCTGGACAACACAAATATATCACTGCTATTATCTCAAATGGATGTCAATGTCATTCTTATTTAACTACAAAAAATGACTATTACTATCATTCTAGATTCCCTTTGTTTGATATGGGTGTTGAAACAGATCATCGTGATGGCCATTCTCAGTGATATGTGTGTTGAAACAGATCGTCGTGAGGGCCATTCTCAGTGATATGGGTGTTGAAACAGATCATCGTGATGGCCATTCTCAGTGATATGTGTGTTGAAACAGATCGTCGTGAGGGCCATTCTCAGTGATATGGGTGTTGAAACAGATCATCGTGATGGCCATTCTCAGTGATATGTGTGTTGAAACAGATCATCGTGATGGCCATTCTCAGTGATATGTGTATTGAAACAGATCATCGTGAGGGCCATTCTCAGTGATATGTGGAGAATTTAACGAGAATTCTAATGACATTATTGTCAATGAGGAGGACAGGGTGCTTTAACCCTCTGACCCTGACTCTTGTCTCTCAGCTGTTTGTTGGCCAGAGATGTCCAGGAGATAAATCAGGGAATGCTGCGTCAGGCTGCGTCCCAAATGGCACCCGATTCCCTATAAAGTGCATCACTTTGGCTAAAGCCCTATTGGCCCTAGTCAAAAGTAGTGCACTACATTGTGAACAGGGTGCCATTTGGGATGCGGCCAGTGTCTTGTGGACGCTTTCTCTCTACAGAGCATGTAGTGCTGAGTGAGCCATACCAGTATCTGCCCCCCCGCCCCCCCACGCACTCTTTCTCTACAACAGCAATAACAAAGGTCAAAAACACTGCACTCACCGAAGTAATGTGGAGCGGACCATGCGCTGTGTGTGTTCAGAGCCAGGATGAGGAAGAGGGACTGTTGTCTTAACCCTGTTCACGGTCAAAAATAACATCTGACAGCTTCTCTGTGTGTTCAGATTCAGAATGTTTAATCGTCACATGTACAGGGTTGCAGGTGTGATTGCAGGATACAGTGAAAATCTTAGGCTCCGAGCTCCAACATGCAGGACTAAGTTAAATAAAAACAATACACATTTGTATTACATTTTAGTCATTTAGCAGACGCTCTTATCCAGAGCGACTTAAAGTTAGTGAGTGCATAAATTTTTTATTTTATTTTTTTTTCATGCTGGCCCCCGTGGGAATCGAACCCACAACCCTGGCATTGCAAGCGCCATGCTCTACCAACTGAGCTACACGGGGCCCACGGTGTACATTCAATACAGTGCAGTGTCCACCTATAACCTTAGCTCTCACACCCTCCCTTCCACAAAGATATACGTCAGTACTTTTCCTATCACCCAGGAGTTCTCCGTGCATATCATAAGACTTCTTATCAGTCAGGAGAGGCTTTGAGTTATTGGGAGCACACATTCCTATAGTTCACTAAATAATTACACTTCTCATACACAAAGAGCTTGAACCTGACACTACTTTCAATCTCTAAGGATATCAAAAAAATCTATTCATACTAAGAGGATATAATGATATAAAACAGTAAAGATATAGAACAGTAATTTACAATCTATCAGATGAAAAACACACACACACAAGTAATAATATACATATTAACAACTGCAACAGTGATGCATGTTGTTGGTGTGGGGGCAGAATAAAAGTATGTTGGTGGGGTGGGGGGGAAATGTAGCAGGTAAGGTAAGTGATCGTTGAGGGGGGAATTTCCATAGGTGTGTGTTCGCGCGTGTGTATGACTGTGCGTGTGTGCATGCGCTTGTGTGTATTCCATGAATTTTTGGCCATGCGCCCCTTTGTGTGTTTACCACCTACCATCCAAGGTGTTAGAACCATAGACCAACTGTTTATAAGAACCCCCCACAGAGACCAATGTTATCGAGGTGAAGATAATTGAACTCAAGACACAGATATTAGGTTCACAGGAATACCTTGTTTGTTTAGTGTGATAACGTGTCTTGACCCTGTGTGTTTAGCAGCTAAATCAAGACCCCCAGCAGGCCACTGGTCAACATGGAGGTTTCCTGTTCAAAGAGATAAAGAGGTTAGCTACATCCCAAATGGCACCCTAATCCCTTTATAGTGCACTACTTTTAATGGGTCCTGGTCAAAAGTAGTGCACTATAAAGGGAATAGGGTGCCATTTGGGATGCGCCAGAGGTGCTTTTTACTTCCAGCTGCTGTGTGTTTACAGCTTCCCTGCTCAAAATGAAACTATGTACAAATGAGACACACACATCAAATGAATCTAACTTAGTGACAACCGAGATCACACTAATGTGACATATTCAAAACACCACTATCAGAACCTATTTCAGTGTAAAGACTAAGATTTTGTTATACTGTATATTGTTTGTGTGTAAAATTCTAGTTTTATATTTCTACATGACTCAATACATGTCAAACAGCATACTGTAAGCACACATACAGTAAAAATGGAAAGATACAGTAAACATATTTTGCATATGCAAAGGAAGAAAAATAGGCCTATTTGTACTACTATACTGTATGTTAGATCAATTGTACAGAATAGATAAAGAAGCTGACAAAATACAGTAAAATCTAGATCATAAGTCAAGAAACAAATACTCAATTTCAAAAGACAAAATCAGTCATGTCTGTTGTTTTGGTCCGGCCACAGATTTTCATCAACATGGAAATATCTTCTGGCATGACGCATCCACCCCTGACAGGACACTGCTGGATTGTCACCACAGGCCTCCTCCATTGCCTGGAGAAGGGCCATACGTTCATGAGGTTTGCTATCATATACCTTCCACTGCCATGCTGAAAACAACTCAATGGGATTGTCATGTAAGGTGTTCAGGAAATGAAGGAGATGGGCAGTGTTGTATGGTCCAAGGGTGGCATGGTGGTGGAGGACCCCATTGTGGCTCATAGCTGCGCATACGGGGACATTTCCCCCGCCCTGGCCAGGTACTGTACCTCAATGACGGCGTGTTGACCAATAATGTTCCTTCCTCTCCTTGTCTTTGCTAAATTTAATCCAGCCTCATCTATGAATGTGAGTTCCTGAGGGATGGGACTTGCATCCAACTCCTTGATTCTCTCAAATGACAGTAAATACTGTAATTGCTGTATAGTAAAGTTCACTGGCAACATCATTGAGTCACTAATGTTTCAAGAGTGTAATACTAGTACATTACTTACAGTGGGGGAAAAAAGTATTTAGTCAGCCACCAATTGTGCAAGTTCTCCCACTTAAAAAGATGAGAGAGGCCTGTAATTTTCATCATAGGTACACGTCAACTATGACAGACAAATTGAGAAAAAAAATCCAGAAAATCACATTGTAGGATTTTTTATGAATTTATTTACAAATTATGGTGGAAAATAAGTATTTGGTCACCTACAAACAAGCAAGATTTCTGGCTCTCACAGACCTGTAACTTCTTCTTTAAGAGGCTCCTCTGTCCTCCACTAGTTACCTGTATTAATGGCACCTGTTTGAACTTGTTATCAGTATAAAAGACACCTGTCCACAACCTCAAACAGTCACACTCCAAACTCCACTATGGCCACGACCAAAGAGCTGTCAAAGGACACCAGAAACAAAATTGTAGACCTGCACCAGGCTGGGAAGACTGAATCTGCAATAGGTAAGCAGCTTGGTTTGAAGAAATCAACTGTGGGAGCAATTATTAGGAAATGGAAGA